CAATTTCACTCACATCTGATGCTGATGGAACACACGTTAGCATCTTTGAAAATTCACAACTTGAAGGTTTGTGTGTAGGGGACTAACTGTAGTTCGTTCCTTTTACTCCTGGGTAGAACTGCATTGAGGGCTTCCCACGGGGTGCTGTGGCAAAGAATTCACCTGCCAATGCAGGAGATATGGGTTTAAACCCTGGACTGGGACGATCTCCTGGAGTAGGAAATGGCAACCAACTTCAGTATTTTTGCCTGGAGCAATCCATGGACCGAGGAGCCTGGCAGGCTATAGTCCATGGAGGTAACAAAGATTCGGACACGACTGAGCACACATTCAAGCACAGTTATTTCACTGAATAAATAACCTCCGATTTATATGCGTTCACCTTGATGGAGCATGTTTATATTAGAGTGACACAGTTCCCCAGGTGGTCCCGCCATGTCACACAATGACAGCACACATGAAGTTTCATCTGGCCAGGGCGCCCACAATGTGATACCATTGATCGTCACAGTTTGAGGCAATGTGGGCACGTGGTGGCAACTTGCTGTGGTTTTCACTTGCTCCTCTCAGATGACCAGTAATGGTGAACACCTTTCCATTCATGTATTGGGTCACTGGCATGTCTTCTATGAAGCACCTATCCAAGGGCCTCGCACATTTCTTACTGAGTTGTCTATTGACTGCTCAGTTGTGGAATTCTTCCTATTAATGTGCGCTAGACACGAGTCCGCTGTCAAGAGTACACACCACAGATGTTTTCTGGAAGTCCCTGGCTTGGCCTCTCTACGTCTCAAGAGCACCTGATGAGCGGATCTGTAAGTTCCAATTTTCCAATCTTTTCTCTACAGTTTGTGCGTTCTGTCCCCTTAGAAGTCCCTGCCCACTCCCAGGTCACAATGATCTTTGACATCTTCCTCCAGAAGCTTTGTGGTGTTAGCCCCATTTTCAGGCCTGTGATCCATCTGTAAGCGACACGTGTGGTGTGAGGGAAGAGCCAAGGTGCACATCCCCCATCAGGATCTGGTTCACACCAGCAAAAACCTAGTGACCATAATGTATGGATGCATTTCTGGACTCTTATTTTGTTCATGGATCCTATCTGTCTTTACACCAATACTGTGCTGTCCTGATTATTTTATCTCTACAGAAAGTCATGAAATCCAGGGGTGGAAATTCTCCAATTTTGTTCCAAATTGTCTTGGCTCTTCTAAGTCCTCTGCAGATTCACGTAAGCTTCTGGAATCACATTTCAGTTTCTATGAAAACTGCTGGGTTCTGACTGGAATGGCACTGAATCAGTCCAGACAGAACCACTGTCTTCACAATCCTGGGTCCCCTCCAAGGGTTCAGTGTATTTCTCCCTTTAGGTCCTCTTTCTAATTTCAATGTAAAGATCTTTAACTGCATATATTCCTAGGTACCCCCATGTTTTCAGTGGTGGTGGTGATGCTCTCTCTTGTACTTTCTACCTTTCTGGTACATGGAATTACGTTTTGTTCTGGATACTGACCTTGTACTCTGATATCTTACCAAACACACAGCTCAGTTTCAGTGTGTTTGTAGATTCTCTGGGGATTTCTATGTCCGTGATTGTGTTGTCTAAAGTCCTGCCTTCACCTTCTTCATCTCCAAACCTCATCCCTCATTTCTCTCCTCTGCCTTTCTGCCCAGCTGCCACTATAGTTCCCTGGGGGGTGCACATGGTCAGAGCAGACATCCTGGTCATGGTCCTGGCCCAGCCCAATGGCTGTCTATCCCAAGCCCACACAGGAATGTCAGTCAGACTTGAGACAACTGATAACAATTGTGCTGAGACACTGAGCAGTACCCAGTGCTCACAGGAGGCATAAACACAGACACACGTGTGCCTCTCAGCTGCTGGCCACACTTCTGTCGGGGGTCATTCCTAGGGAGTGTCAGTCTGCACCTGGGCAAGGCCCAGGTCTGGTCAGGACGACCAGACCCAATCAGACGTGCAGATAAGCTGGAACCAAGGATGCACCTGCAGAAATGCAAGTACTGCCGCCCTTCACTGACTGAACTAGTTTATCTCAGGGCCAAGAACTTATCATGTTCAGTTGCTCATTCATGTCCGACTCTTTGCAACCCATGGACTATATAGCATGCCAGGCTTCCCTGTCTTTCACTATCTCCTGGAGTTTGCTCAACCTCATGTCCATTGAGTCGATGATGCCATCCAACCATCTCATCCTCTATTGCACCCTTTACTTCCTGCTCTCAATACTTCCCAGCCAAGGACTTACTGAGAACAAAGTAATAGTCGTGGGGGAGAGTCCAAGTATGACCTCAGTACTCAATAACCTCCAGCATTCTGGTGCAGAGGGAAGATTGGAAATCATGCCCTGGTGCTTCCTGCGTCACTCAGTCCTGTCTGACTTTTTGTAACCCCATGGGCTTGTACTTGGCCGGGCTCTTCAGTCCATGGAATTCTCCAGGAAAGAATATTGGAGTTGGTTGCCATTCCCTTCTCCAGGGGATCTTCCCAACCCAGGGACTGAACCCAGTCTCCAGCATTTCAGGCTGATTCTTTACCATCTGAGCCACCAAGAAAGGCTCTAAAAATTCACATCTACCCTCTTTCATCGCCAGCATCACAGGTGTTATGGGCTGAACTGCCTCCCCCTCCCAAAAATTATCACGTTGGGGGGGAGAGGGAGAGAGGGGGGTCCCAATGCCCCAGGAGCTCAGAACGTGACCTCAGAACGTGGCCGGGTCCTCACAGAGGCCATCAAAGCTCAAACGAGGTACTAGGGCAGGCCCTCACCCAAACAACTGGCATTTTATGAAAGACAGAAATTTAATCACGGAGACAGATGTGCACACAGAGAAAACGGCCCGACAGGCAAAGAGCAACGCTTCCACAATCAAGGAGCGGCGGCACGTGCACACCGCCAGGAGCCGGGGAGGCCTGGGCGCGCCCTCCACACCACACTGCCTGCACCTGGGTCTCGACCTCAGCCTCCAGCACGGAGACGACCAACTGCAGTGCTGCGTCACTGGGGAGACCGACACAACATGGGTCAGACTGAGGCTGTAACTTGACAGAAACCCACGGATCTTGGGAGACCCAGCAAACCAGTCAAAAATCAACATGAGACATGGACGCCAACTGCCATCACACAGGCGAGGCCGGCGGCGGCTCTGGCGAGACCCGTGCTGGCATGAACTCGGCGGCCGAACCCGTGGCAGACGCCCACTCAGGAACCATAGTGCGTCAAGGCCAACCTGTCACTCACTGCCAGATAGGGCGGGGCCTCCAGAGACCACACCCCCTCCAACAAGGTGAGTCCACATCAGAGCTGGGGCCAGGAGGCCCACGTGTCCCCAACCCCGCCTTACCTTCCCTCGCCCAGGGGCGCCCCAGGCCTCTACACAGACAGCAGCCCGGCATCCACGATGCAGGAGTCCATCCGTGTCCGAGGAAGAGTGGCCCGGCAAGGAGCAAGGCCTGAGCTCGGCTCCTGGGCCCTCGCACGCGACACCAGGTCTGACTCTGGAGACAGGTCCTGTCCTCGGAGGTGAGGCTATCTCTACCGGACTCGCTGGGTTTTAGACACTGACTCCTAACAAGTGGCTCATAAAGACACACCTCAGCAGAGCCAGAGCTGAATCTCTGGCAGCAGAATCTACAACTGGAAAACTGGGAAAAACAGGCAAAACAGATACAGATAAATTTGTTTTTAATAAAGGAGTTAATTTTCTTTCAATCCTATATAAAACAATAGCAATTAAAAACTTCATTTTTGAAAGTAAAATATTTACATATGAACAAGTAACTGTGCAAAATTTACATGAAAAAATGGAAAGACAGGGATTTCCTAAAAGACAAAATAAAAGGTGTAACAGTTTTCGGGTGTCGATAAAAAATACTGATCAGCATTCAGTTCACACGCGCGAATAAAGTCTAACATGAGAATTCACACAGAGAAAGCCAAAGTATTTACAGTCATAAAAGTACTATCAATAGACAATTTAATACAATAACCTCTGAAAATATAAAGAACCAATTAGTATATTTGTAATAAAAAAATAGGTACAAAGAAGGGGCTTTTGCTCTGGACGTCTGTAAAGTGGGCCCACAGCTTGCATACAGTCTCTTAGCAAAATAATTATAGTTACATAGCCATCTTCATGTTATGTGCCAAAAATTATGTACAATTACTGACAAAATACACCAACCATTTCAACACTTGATTCACACTGAGAAACAGTCTTTTGATGATTCTTCTCAACTTTGATTTTATTTCATCTAAGTTTTCACTTTTAGCTAAAAAACACAGTGCAAGTAAAATAGATTTATGCTGAAAAGGTTTTCATTTCTTTAACTTTACAGCTTTACAAACAATAGCAAATAAAATGCATTTGTACAGATGCTGACCACACATTCAGAAGGAGCCGCGTCACCGGGCCCCACGAAGCAGAGAGGGGCGAGCCCCGAGGCACAGGCGGACGGTGGGCTGCCTGCTCCTCGAGGATCCTGAACGGAGGGGTGGGGGAGGGAGGGAGATAAATAGTCTAAAAAATCAGTTTGCTTTGCCAACTGACTAATACAAAAATAAAATAAGTGAAATGAGGTCACTGGCTGTAGACACACACCTACGCAGTAAGCTGGGTTGAACTAAACCAAATGCACAAACGATGTAGAAACCGCTATGAGGTGACAAGAGGGCAGCTAGTTATTTGCTAAACGATTCCATCAGTTTTTATATATGGCTTGTTTGGCAAGAAGGCCACTCAATCAAAGATGAGTTAGGATTTAATTGTCCTGTAAGAGTACCCGCAGGCCTCTGTGTTCTCTGTTACAGAAACATGTTTTCCTCCGTACTGAAGAGTTGACTTAGAAACAGGAATATAAAACTGTTCCATTGTAAAGAGGTGGCTGTTTTTTAAACAATATCCCATTTGCTCGTTACAAAAAGGCGTAATCTGCAAATATATAAAAAGTCCCCAGGCGTCTCTGCTAAGAGGCCGCGTCCGTGCTACTTAAGGAATGCTTTGTACAGCAACAGTGAATGGCTTGTCTCACGTTCATTTTCTAAACAAAATATGAGGTCCCTGAGGTTGACCCGCGTGATCCTTTGCCGCGTGAACTGTCTGGGGGTTCCGACGCCGGAACTGCCTGGGACCGCCGAGCCTGGGCCCGAGCCCTGGTGACGAGAAAGGAGAAGACAGCCGAGTTAGTGGAGCGCAGAGGTGGGCAGGGCCCTCGGCGCTGGAAGGAAGGGGCAAGGCCAGGTGCTACCCCAGGACCACAGGCCTGGGGGCAGCGCACGGTTCCCTACAGGTGTCCCACGGAACCCGGGTATGGAGGAAGCCGGGCCTGGACAGGCTTAGGCCAACTGCTGGAGCCACGGTGCTCAGCCAGTCCCTAACAGAAGGGGTGAGATCAGGGGGGCACGACCCCGCGCCCACCTCCAGGCCTGGTGCTCTCAGGCACACACTGGAAGATGCTAACCCTGCGATTCCCCACAGAGCTCAGACTCTGGCCCTGGGCACAGAAGGAAAACGTGGCGGCTCCTGCCCCACAGGGACGCAGAACAGCTCCAGGGCTCGTGGCTGGCATTGCTGGTGTCCAGGACTCAGGTGGGCTGGCACTGCACCTGTGGTGGCCATGTCACCCCCCACTTCGCCAACAAAGGCACGTTCCCAAAGCCGCAAGGTCCAGGCTCGTGGGCTGGGCAGGCTGGCAGTTGGCGAGCTGGGCTGCAGGACTCTTCAGTCACCATGTCGTCTGCGGCCTGAAGGGTGGCCCCACTCCCTTGGGCTGACAGTGGTCTGCACTGCTCGGCACCCAGTTTGGTCAGCCTGCAGGGGGATCCGGCCGAAGGTGTGAGCTCTGGCGCCTGCCTGCTTGCAGAGCTGGGGTTCTGGGTGCCTTCCTGCCGCGTTGCTGCCCCCCAGCAGCAGCATCCATGATGTCAGCACGTCTGTCACCGTCTCCATCCGACACTCGTGGGCACAAACCATATAACTCCCAACTGGACGGGTCTTGGTTTCCGTTCAAAACAAACAGGAAGTGTCTGTATTCTGATGGTTAAAGTTGCTCATGTGTATTTCAAGTGCAAAACTTACAATGGAACTTTTATTGCGTTTTCTCAAAGTTTAAGAAGGTGGGAGCCATGAGTCCTGTGATGCTGGAGGAGGCCGCAGTGCAGCAAGCGGCCAGCAGGTGGCAGGCGAGGCATCCCATGCGTCTTCTGTTAATTTACCAGTTCCTTACAACAACCCCCCCCTCCCAGAGCCTTAATCACCGGTCCCTCCTCCAGACAAGTCCTCTGGTGACTACTTGTCTGTGTTTGAAACAACTACTTAGGTTTTCTTGCCAGTTCTCCCTGAGTCTCCGTAACAGCCCTATAGGAGCATTTTGTGTACAAAACAAACAGCACCCCTGAAAAGGTGGTGATGAAAACACACAGCCAAGAGGAACCAGGAAAATGGGAGCTGGCCTGCGCCCAGGGCCCTGTGGGTCTGCACCCTCAACACAGGGGAGCCTGCAGAGGCCAGTGTCTGGAGAGACAGCTGGGAGGGGCGGACAGGGCACCACCTGACCTCGAGGCTCACGGAGAACAAAGCGCTACCTAAACCATGGGCCAGGTGTCTTCTGTGACACTCACTACAATTCTGGACCATGTTTGACGCTCTTACTTTCAAAATAGTTCAACGACCAAAACCAGCTAGAAGGGTGAGGGCTCTCACTTCAGGCACAGAATGTAAAAGATGCTGAAACTCAGAAATCAAGGTAAATGATATTTTAATGAAATCTTTTTTAGAAGTCAAAAGTGGCTCCAAACAAGACAAGCAGGCGTTAGCACAGCCCACAGCTGGACTCCAGGGCCGTGGCCATGCTGGCCACACTCATCATGTCTCAGGCACCAATGGTCATAAGGTGGCCACATGTCACTCTTTCACGGACTTTAACAAGAAGCCTGTGCTCAAAGGCCTCCTACCTGACACTAAATGTCGTCCAGTGTCATGGTGTGAGTGCCAGCCTGTGACCAACTAGCTCTGGGGTGTCCTGGTCACAGAAGGCGGTCACAGGAACCCAGTGCCCAGCCTGCAGGAAGTGGCCCTAGGTTATCAGCAGTGACCTCAGATGACAGAAAACTGCACAGAAGATGCCAGCATCCACTTTCACCAACAGGCTCAAGCACAGAGGATGATGGATTTGTTCTGTTTTGCATTTGCAGGGGTTGGGGTTGAAACACAGCAACCTTGGACCCCAGCTCCCCACCTGAAATCACTGTGTGAACTCAACCTGTCCCATTCCAAGACTGTCAAGAGGATCAATGAAAGGCTATCCCCTACTGTCTCCTTTGAAGGCAAACTTAACACTGTCAAAAATGCCACAATCAACTTGACAGGCAACAAGCACTCAATGCAGGAACCAAGTGGAAACAATCACCTTAGCCCCAACCTGCCTGGCTCACCGGTCACTTCACTCAGGCCCCCGAGCCATGCACAATGGGCCATGGCACCTGGTTGCAGCTGCAGGGACCTGCCACCGGCCCTCACCACGGTGGCAGAGAGCACCAGCCCCTCGGGGACTGTCTGGGGGAACTCACACGGGGGGCCTTACTGCCACTCCCCCCAGAGCTCCTACAATAGTAGCAAGAGGTCCACACCACGAGAGGCTGTCTGAGTGATGCCCCATGTGCCAGGTGGTAAGTAACGGAGGTCAAAGCACCAAGAGCACAGACACCCCCTGGCTCGCTCTGCTCCTCTTCACACCAGTGCAATTCCCGAGCTTGTCCACGCCCGAGCACAGGCAGCTGGAGGGCGCCAGGGACCCCTGGCACTTGGCTGAGGAGAGCCAAGGTCACCCTGGTATCTTTCATTATCTCCCCCAGGGCCATCCAGAACAGGGAGGGAACACAGCATCCGCACTACATGAAGATGCAGGCCAGGCTCCGCAAAGACCGAGGAGGGGGGCTATGCCCCCATGATGCCAAGCAGTAGACACAGCAGCGAGAGTCCTCCTCCCACCAGAGCAGGCTGGGGGGTGCCTAAGTGCACACCAAGAAGTGAGTGGGGGGGAGGCAAGGTCCTGCGGGTGCCACCAGAGGACCTCAGCCCTCCTCATCAGGAGAGACACCAGCTAAGTCACTGGGCTCTGCACAACAGTCAGGAGAGGGCGTCATCAGGCCACAAATCTCGTCAACACCCACACCACAAAATTAACAAGAGGAAGATCAGCAAGTCCACCAAGAACCACCACAAGCAGTCAGAAAATGAAATCCCACACATACCAGGTCCAAACGCAATCTGGAAAAATAAGCAACTACAAGACAACCCTTTCAACAAAAAAATGTACTTACACATTAGAGTTTATGAAAATCACCTTGAATCAAAAACTCAAAATATAAGGGCAAGATGGATTAAAAGCCAGAAAGAAATGAGAGTTCACTGACTCAAGAAAGAAATGAGAAAAAAAGACAAAATTATCTGATACATGAATATAATAAACTGTAAGGTACTCAGGGGAGAAAAAACTCAAATAAAAATTCATAAGCGGCAAAGAAGAAAAGCTGAACAAAAGAAGAGAAAGGAGACAAAGGGAAAAAAAAGGGCCAGGAAAACACAGGGTAAAGGAAGACACGAAAGGAGGACATGCACTGAGCCATCGGAGCCCCCAGAGAGGGAGCCAAAGGTGAGGGCAGGAGAAATATACTAAACCATAATCTGAGGAAACTTTCAAGAAATGGAAACCAAAAAACCAAACCTACATGGACAAGGCGAGTGGGCACCTAGGAAAATTAACCCATAAAATCAACTTCCACAAAGCCTCATAAAACTGTCAGTTTTCCAAGATAAATTAACCTGGAATCAGGCTTTCCAAAAACCATGCTGCTGCTGCTAAGTCGCTTCAGTGGTGTCCGACTCTGTGTGACCCCACAGACAGCAGCCCACCAGGCTCCACCGTCCCTGGGATTCTCCAGGCAAGAACACTGGAGTGGGTTGCCATTTCCTTCTCCAATGCATGAAGTGAAAAGTGAAAGTGAAGTCGCTTAGTCGTGTCCAACTCTCAGCGACCCCATGGACTGTAGCCCACCAGGCTCCTCCATCCATGGGATTTTCCAGGCAAGAGTACTGGAGTGGGTTGCCATTTCCTTCTCCTTCCCACACCCATACAGTAAGACAAAGTGAAAGCTGGTCACAGTGTCCAACCCCATAGACTATAGCCTGCCCAGCTCCTCCGTCCATGGAATTCTCCAGGCAAGAGTACTAGAGTGGGTTACCATTTCATTCTCCAGGGCATCTTCCTGACCCAGGACTCAATCCCAGGTCTCCTACATTGCGGGCACATTCTATACTAACTGAGCCACTAGGGAAACCCATATACAGTAAGCAAGGAAAAGCATTAAAAACATCACTGAAAGCAAGCATGAACCAACATTTTTATATCCAGCCTGACTGCCCTCCACATCAAGGCCACAGAAAAACCGTTTCAACTTGCAATATGGCGGGGACTCTGCACCTGAGCTTCATGAGAGCTTGGCCACAGGTCAGGGTCATCCCAATGACAGAGAACAGAGAATCCACAGAAGAAGGGAGAAATAGGTATTTATAATACACACACACAGCTGCTGCAACAGTGACACTGAGGAAGTGGCCGGGAGATGACACCGTATGCCATGACGAAGTAGAAATGACGTGACAAAGCGTGAGATGGAAGGGGTCACAGGACCCATAGGGAGGCCGTGTGGCCACCTGGAGCCAAGGAAAATGCGGACCTGAGCTAAGAAGCCCAACAGGAAACACACGTGAAAACCTGGGGTAAAGACACCCAAACACATACAAAAGTGACCACTAGAGCAGAGGCACACAGCTTCCTAAACACAATTATCTTAATTAAGGAGCAAAGACTACACATCACACCAAAACAATCATAACCCTAAGAATCTGTGACAGAGTCTGAACCCACATGTCAGCTGCATCAACACAGATGATGGGCTTAACTTGTGCGTGATGGAAAGACACTCGCCAGCAGGACTCAGAGGACAGGACCCTGCCGCACACCACACAGAGGTGCACCTACAGGAGGGGCCACGGGCCCAGGAGGAACAGAGGCTCCAGACCAAGAGGAACAGGAGAGCAGGGGAAACAGGCCTGACTGAGGACAAGGGGGACATCGAGCCCCCTGGGCACG